TAGGGGGGAAAGAGTTGAGAAATTACTGGTATGGGGGAAAAGGGGATAAGTAATAACTAGGAGGGGGAAAGGGGTGAGTAATAATGTGAGGGAGAAAGGGATGAGTAATCACTTAGAGGGTAAAAATCATATCAAAAGGCGAAAAAGGAACGAGTAATCACGACAAGAGGTGAGTAATAAATGGACAGAGATGAGTAATCATGAAATAGAGATTAGTAATCATGGGATTGAGATGAGTAATCATGAGATAGAGATGAGAAATCATTGGATAGAGTAATTATGGGAGGGAGATGAGTAATCATGGGATAGAGATGAGTAATCATGGGATAGATATGAGTAATCATGAGTTGAGATGTGTAATCAAGAGATGAGTAATTAAGTGATAGAGATGAGTAATCAAGTGATAGAGACGAATAATAATTGATGAGTAATCATGTGATAAAGATGAGTAATTGTGAGGTAGAGATGAGTAATCATGGAATAGAGATGAGTAATCATGGGATGGAGATGAGTAAATCATTGGATAAAGATGAGTAATTATCGGATAAAGGTGAGTAATCATTGGATAAAGATGAGTAATTGTGGGATAGAGATGCGTAATCAAAGGATGGAGATGAGTAATCATGGGATAGAGATGAGTAATCATGAAATAGAGATGAGTAATCATGAGATAGAGATGAGTAATCAGTGGATAGGGATGAGTAATCATGAGATAGAGATGAGTAATCATGAGATAGAGATGAGTAATCAAGGGATAGAGATGAGTAATCATGGAAAAGATGAGTAATCATGAGATAGAGATGAGTAATCATGGGATAGAGGTGAGTAATCATGGGATAGAGGTGAGTAATCAAGGAATGGAGAAATCATGGACTTGAGATGAGTAATCACAAAAATTTATCATATAAATACTTATTTTATTTACAACATAAACCATTATAAATGAAGACAATACTGACAATACTCTTGTGTAATATATTAGACTCTAAGATTTGGCTAATAGGCCATTCCTGGTAAATCAAGGCAGTCTAAGTTAAATATATGAAGTTACATCTTTTATGACTGTTAGAAAATACGGCAAAATCTGCAACCCTGGTCAACTCGGGCTTAAAGTTTTTCTCAAAATAATAACGTGAACTATTGTAGAGCTGTAATTTGTTTTTGTCAGAGCTGTTGATCTTTATTTCTCTCTTTCTATTTGAAATAACAATATTATTTTTTCACATTAGAATTCGAAAGATGTAGAGCTCTAATTCTTTTCATTTCACAATGAACATTTCACATCATTAGCCATTTTATTATCTCAATTTCAATCTGAGAGATTGTCTTTATGTTTCTACACTGTTAACTACTGTTGATTTGGCCTTTCTTCCTGGTAAAAATGTTGATTTACCTAAAATAAAGTATGGATTAATCATCAGGCTTTAATGTACAATATGAATTGATTACAAGAGTTATGTCCCTTATGTTACTTAATCCATCAACTTCGCAGCCCATGGGCCTGTCCTAGCAGACAATTCAACTTGCTACTGACTAAGCTACTCCACTGCTTGGTTGTATTAGGATCAATGCTGGTTTTTCAATTCATCTACGCTTGCAAAAACAGAGATTAAGGCTGGTAAAAAAGGTTTTTAATTAGACTACTAGGCCTCTTAACAATAAAAAGACAGAATTCTACTAGAAATGGAAAGGAAAATAAATAAATGAAGGTTGAACTTACTAGGTGGTTGAGTTATTTTTGAAGTAAGATGTATAAAGGGTTCGACTAGAGATTGACGATTTGCCACGGAAACTTCCCATAATCGGACTGAAACAAACATACACCAATGATTTATATATCCCGAGGGGGCCATGGGTAATGAGGGAGGTCGTAGATCGCGGAAGTGGGGACAGGGGTTAGTATTCATCCTGAAGCATCAAAATTCTACTCTGACTACCTCGAATAAGTTACAGACTTGATTAGAGGAATGTATGGCTACAAGTTTCCTTACATCTTATACTTACTCTTTTCCTTGTGGGACCATTTTAAAGCTGTATTAAACTCCACCTGTCTGGCCTCGTTCACTTCACTCTTGTTTCCGATTACTATTATATGAGCCTGAACAAATAAAAAATATCTAAGTTATTTGAAGGCTCATTAAGGCAAAACTGCAATCACATTAGCCAGTCATATCTATCACTATGTTAATCAAAAGCAGAGTATTGTTTCACCCCTAGTCCTTTACCAAACCTGTTGGCATTGATCTTTTCCAGATTATCCTTCAGTATTTAACAGCTTGGTCGACTTGAATGAGGGAAGATAACTTCCACTTGTTGACGAAGTCTGGCTACTGGCTTGTTTCAAGTGGCAGGATAGCAAACTTTCAAAAAAAATATTACCTTATTATCTCTCACTTTTTCTATTTCTTTCTTTAAAGAGTCTAATCTTTGAAAGGAATCCCAACTGGTTACATCATAAACTAACGCAAAACCCTGAAATATTTGAAAGAATAAAGATACCAATAGAGGAGGAGCCGTGTCTGATATAATTTAATTCAGGATTATCAATACAGTTTGCAAAAGACAACCCCACATTTAACATAAAGAATAGATATCTTAAAATGAGATAAATTCATTTTACTTACATCTGGAAAAGAAAAATAATGTTTCGGCATTTCTGTTGATGGATCCTAAAAGTACAGAAAAATATCATGGAATTTCCTTTCCAAAAAAACTTGATACACAGTAATTGATAATGATAAATCAGATTCCAAAGTACATAACTACAACACCAGTGGTAGAGCCAAAAGCAGGGCACAGATAGCCCCCCCTCGCAGCCCCGAAGGCATGTTCTTCAGGCAAAAATCTTATAACTAGATTAGAAATCCGGGCAACCTCAGATATTTCGCCCCCCCCTCAGTTGTAAACCTGGCTAGGCCACTGTACAACACATCCTAAACTCCTGAGTTCCATTCTCCGAAGATGCATAAAGTGGCCCTTACTTTGTGTTGATTTGAACTGCTGCAAGTTTATAGATTTCATATAATTTTGGGGCTTAAAGAGTGACCATCATAATAGTTGGTCATCTGATTTGAAACTTCAACTTACCAAGCCAGCTGTATCATAAATTCTGACTCTTTCTTTAACCCCTCTATCTGTTTCTATGACAGCATTATAAATATCTTCAATCGTAGCAAACATTGGCTGAAATCATAGAAAAGTATTTCTTGGGCTTTGCCTACAGATTACAACTTTTTGGATCATAAATTCTTCATTCTTCTTTCTAAAATATCTAATTTATAATACTCCATACTTAAATTGAAATTGCAGAAAAGTAGGCATAAAATGCATTATCTAATCACAAACTTGAAAAGGCTAAACTAGGTAATTTTGTCTCAAATGTTTGCATACAAACATACGATTTGATTTGTTTTTATTGAGGAATGAGGTTATTGTGAAAACTTACAGTGCCTAATTTGTGGTTACCATACAGCAGTTGTTCTATTAAAGATGTTTTACCAACTCCAGTACACCCACAAACTAATATCTTGTTAATTTTACCCATTTCTGTATCTTCTAAGCCCTACCAGTGTACTGTTGTCAAAGCCCAATTCAATACCTACAAGCAAACTGTTGGTATGCAGTCTTTTCCAAGTGGGTCAGCATTTGAACAAGTTTCAAGTACACTTACTGCATTGAACTTGTAAACTTTTTCAATTTTAACACAGGAGAAGGTTAAATTACCTGGTAGTTTTGGTATTCATAAGACAATGTAGCCAAGCCACAATATAACCAGAGAGAATTCAGACCACAACAGTAGACCATTTTCTCAAATAGATGAGTGGAGGCCTGTGAACTTGTGGAAGCTCTTTGTAAAAACATATGCTCTCTTTTATTTCATTTCTGGGGATGGGCCTCCCTCACAGGTGGAAGGCCTGTGTACTTGGTTCAACCAGTTCCTATTCCCCCAATATCATAATATGGAAGTTGAGCCACTGCCATTTTCACCACTATCTAGGGCATAACCATTGGTATGAAGGGATAGTTTGAACACCAGATATTATAAAAAGATGGACAATTATTATTATTTTCAATGCAACATAAAATTCAGACTAAAACATCCAGAGACAATGAAGTAATTCTAAATTAATTACCAAAACATTAAAATTTCGAGATTTAGTCAGCCATCTTGGAAATTTGTGAATTGGAGTTACTTCCCTTGAAAAATTGTTCAAGAAGATTTAAAGCTATCATGGTTATAACATTAAGAAAAAGTGTTATTTTGAATTCCATCAGATTTGTCGATAATGATTAAAAGCCAAATTGAGATAAATCTTTTGGCATCACAATATTTGCAGACTTCTACGCGTGGGACAAATTACAAATGATAGGCAAACCCAATGAAAGATTATGCAATTTTCTGAAAGTTCAAGCGGCGTATTCTTTTAATTTCTTCGTGATCAATACCCGCAATTAGTTTATGACACAATTACGATCTTTACACCTGATAGTCTGGGAAGGAATGGAAATAAAATTCCTGATTACTCGAGTATAATTTAACCCGCGGTTGATTACAGTGAGAACCGTTTTAATCCCGACTTACTTTACCCATCACTCAAATTGAGTTCTAAATTTTGATTGGTCTTAAGATGTTCAAGAATATTTTTGATTGGTGGGTTTTGTATAAGTCACACCCACTGGAAATTAGGGGTGTGTTTAATCACGATCTTCTTTAAATAGTCATATTTTTAATATATTCTACTAATTTTGTCCTAACGTATGTCGTGCTTCTTGCCGTCTGTTATTATTTTTTTTGCACAAGGACCAAATTTTCAGCAGTTGAGATAAGGACTAGTATTTCAAGTAAGTAATATCTACTAGCTTCTTATAATTTGGAATGTTAGTCGCCAAGAATCGTACAATCCTACTCCACAGAAAACAAGAAAAATATTCCACAGCTATTGTTGACATAGTCAGAAATGCTTTGCCCACTATTCGACAAAAATATGTCATAAATGTTCATGTAGACTCCGATATCCAAAAAATAATAACTATAACTATAGCAACGGCGGTATTTGCTTAACCTAATCAAATCTCAGACCTTTCAGAGATGATACCGTCGGATGTTTTTATAAGAACACGTTAGCTTGAATGACTATAAAAGTGATGTTTGTAATTAATCAAATCAACCTAGTTGGCGGTATCACCATCCGCTGGAAGCGAACGTTAACTAGTCATCTACCAACCAAATCAATTATTGAGTAAACGTAATCAATCACAACGAGCTTCCATTTCAATTCCAATAAAAACATCCTGTATCAAATAATTACCTATATAACTAACCAAAAAGTCAAAATTATCAGACCATCATTCATCATTCTGTCATAGAAATGGAAAGGTATTTGATTTCGGTTTCGTTTATAGGAAAAGCTCAATCTGGATAACATGCATCGTTTCAGTAATAAACATTGGTTGTCATTTCAGCATGGAGCCAGAAGCCAAGCGACAGAAGATTGATACTACTGGACGTAGAGTTATGAAGAGCTATAAACGACATGATAAACCACCCTACAGTTATCTGGGCATGGTAGCTTTAATCATTCAATGCTCACCAGGTCGTCAACAGTCTCTTGCTGGTATCATCGATACATTGACGGACATGTTTCCTTTCTTCCAAGGTGAATATAAGGGCTGGAAAGATTCGGTGCGACATAATATGACCAATTCTGATTGCTTCTACAAGGTAACGTCATAATGATCAATGTCATCAAGTATCCTCTGATTAAATACCAATTGGACGTCGGATTTTCCTTCTAAGGTACTCTCAGCTCAGCTGGGCAAGAAAAAAATAAATTCACTTTAACCATGTTTATTTAACGCATCACCCTCACCTTTTACAGTGACCCAAATTAAATTTTAAAAGAATGACTAGGCCAGGGAAACCCTTCATATAAATATGAAATTTGTCCGATCCTTTTTGAAGCGCACACTGGTGACACGTCACACTATATTATATTACGCATTATAGTCAACATACCTTACTATATGTTTTTTGTTACTTAGAGCTGAAGGGGCGGTGTTTTAACGACTAGCATAACTTGTTATTACAGGTCGAGGAATTGGTGAATAACGTTAAAAGAATGAAAAGATGCAAGTGGGCCATAGATTTCAAGAAACTTCCTGAAGACGCCATGGTTCGTCAAGACCGTAGAAAGACCACGGAATACTACGCCTCGACCCTCACAGAGCATTTCAACCTCCCTCCACTTCGGTATGTACCCCAAGGCGCAGTCCTCTCCATCAGCACGTCCAAATTAGTTAACCCACCACCAGAGCATTTTGACGACACTTTCAAGGAGCCGAGACAAAGAGTTCAAAGAAGATCCACACCTCGTCCATTCAGTATTGAATCTATCTTGGAATCTTCCCGGAAATCGCAGTCGCTGTGCGAACCAGCTCACGTTCACCACATCCAGTTTCCGAAGACCATGTTCGATGACCAGACTCCGGAAAAGGCTTTAGAGAATCTTCGTCAGCTTTGCAACAACACCAATCCTCTAGATGTCGAGCCCAAACCGTTGGACACATCTTTAGAAGTAAGAACGTCTTCAAGTCTTTGTGATATTACAAATTCTTCGTCGAGAGATTCCTTGGATTTTTCAACACCAAGGGGAATGAGTATCGAAGGATTTGGAAACTTTACGCCTAGACCAGAATTGTTTACAACAAGGAAGGCAACAACACAAGGATATAAGACAGATTCAGAACATGTGACTCCAACGAACAGAAGCCTGTCTACACCACAGAGAACACCAAGCTGTACCTACAGCTTCACCGAACCGGTGACACCAACGAAAGTGACCGTCATCCAGTCTTCAACCCAATTGTCCGGCCATAAAGTGACCAGCACACCTCTTCGGCAGTGGCATCAACCGCGACTCACGAACATCTTCTCTCCTCGTAACCAACAACCAAACTACCAAAACAGTTCATTTAGCGCCTTCTCTTTTTCCGGAAGCACCACCTCACCAATCATGAGCCCGGTTAACTTGTCATTGAACAGCCCACCAAGTTTTGAGTCAGCGTCTTCGTTGTTCGAATCACCACCTCTTCACGCCAGTTTTGGTTCCAGCTATATTGAACGTCGGTTGGAGAGTCCACATAGTTCGAGATCTTCCTGCAACGCCATCAGAAAGCCAGAGTGGGTCTACTTCGCAACTCCAGATCCGAGAGTGCAGCAACCGACAGTCAAACACCCCGACAGTTTTTCACAGGGAAGCTTCTTCTACGTCACTCAACCCAATTTTACCTAGACAGTTACTGAGTATATTATCAAGTGAGTGGTCTCTATTATGCTACTGCTAATGTGTGTTGCTTTATGTGCTGGTTTCCAATTTAATGTGCTACTGACAATGTTTGCTATTTAATGTACTGACTACGTTTGCTATATAATGCGCTACTGACAATGTTTGCTATTTAATGTGCTACTGACAATGTTTGCTATATAATGTGCTACTGACAATGTTTGCTATTTAATGTGCTACTGACAATGTTTGCTATTTAATGTGCTACTGACAATGTTTGCTATTTAATGTGCTACCGACATTGTTCGCTATGTTTAATGTGCTACTGACAATGTTTGCTATATAATGTGCTACTGACAATGTTTGCTTTTTAATGTGCTACCGACATTTTTCGCTATTATTAATGTGCCGCCTATGTTTGCTATTTAATGTGCTACTGACAATGTTTGCTATATAATGTGCTACTGACAATGTTTGCTATATAATGTGCTACTAACATTTGCTATATAATGTGCTACCGACATTGTTCGCTATGTTTAATGTGCTACTGACAATGTTTGCTATTTAATGTGCTACCGACATTGTTCGCAATGTTTAATGTGCTACTGAAAATGTTTGCTATTTAATGTGCTACTGACTACGTTTGCTATATAATGTGCTACTGACAATGTTTGCTATGTTTAATGTGCTACTGACCATGTTTGCTATGTTTAATGTGCTACTGACAATGTTTGCTATATAATGTGCTACTGACAATGTTTGCTATATAATGTGCTACTGACAATATTTGCTATTTAATGTGCTACTGAAATGTTTGCTATGTTTAATGTGCTACTGACAATGTTTGCTATATAATGTGCTACTGACAATATTTGCTATATAATGTGCTACTGACAATGTTTGCTATATAATGTGTTACCGACATTGTTCGCTATGTTTAATGTGCTACCGACATTGTTCGCTATGTTTAATGTGCTACCGACATTGTTCGCTATGTTTAATGTGCTACTGACAATGTTTGCTATGTTTAATGTGCTACTGAAAATGTTTGCTATTTAATCTGCTACTAACATTTGCTATAAAATGTGCTATGTTTAATGTGCCACTGACAATGTTTGCTATATAATGTGCTACTGACAATGTTTGCCATATAATGTGCTACTGACAATGTTTGCTATATAATGTGCTACTGACAATGTCTGACAATGTTTGCTATATTTAATGTGCTACTGACAATGCTCCCTATATAATGTGCTACTGACAATGTTTGCTATGTTTAATGTGCTACTGACAATGTTTGCTATATAATGTGCTACTGACAATGTTTGCTATATAATGTGCTACTGACAATGTTTGCTATATTTAATGTGCTACTGACAATGTTTGCTATTTAATGTGCTACTAACATTTGCTATAAAATGTGCTATGGTTAATGTGCTACTGACAATGTTTGCTATATAATGTGCTACTGACAATGTTTGCTATGTTTAATGTGCTACTGACAATGTTTGCTATATAATGTGCTACTGACAATGTTTGCTATATAATGTGCTACTGACAATGTTTGCTATATAATGTGCTACTGACAATGTTTGCTATATAATGTGCTACTGACAATGTTCGCTATGTTTAATGTGCCACTGACAATGTTTGCTATATAATGTGCTACTGACAATGTTTGCTATATAATGTGCCACTGACAATGTTTGCTATATAATATGCTAATGACAATGTTTGCTATTTAATGTGCTACTGACAATGTTTGCTATTTAATGTGCTACTGACAATGTTTGCTATATAATATGCTATTGGCAATGTTTGCTATTTAATGTGCTACTGACAATGTTTGCTTTTTAATGTGTTACCGACATTGTTCGCTATGTTTAATGTGCTATGTTTGCTATTTAATGTGCTACTGACATTGTTCGCTATTTAATGTGTTACCGACATTGTTCGCTATGTTTAATGTGCTACTGACAATTTCTGCTATAAAACGTGCCATGGTTAATGTGCTGACAATAATTGCTATTTAATGTGCTACTGAAATGTTTGCTATTGGCAATATTTGCTATAATGTGCTACTGTTAGAAGTGCTGACAATATTTGCTATTTAATGCGTGCTACTCACAATAGCTTCAACCCTTTCAACGTTGTTTGCTGTACCATGTGCTGGCATTTGGTGTGCCCTTTCTTCATACCCTTAACATGTTTACAGCCATATTTGATGGATCTGATGCTAGGCATATTATGCTAAATCATATTCAGCGGACGGACGGTATCGTTTATTTTGTGCTAATTTATTCAAGTGTGCTTTTTAATTCTCTGGTAATTTATATGATTATGTACATCATGTTTCGTGCCTTATTCTATTAAATACTTATGTCAATCAACATTTTTTTTTATTTTAATTTAATGTGCAATGTCATAATATGAAATGATATTTGTTTTATTTAAATAAATCTCATAAGCCTTTGGTTTAAATCTTCAGACCCAAAAATCCCTGGACACAGATTTGTCAAATAATCTCAGTGCTGGGCATCATTTCTTTACTCCAGGGTGCACATGAATGCAAGGGATTGTCATTCTAGCTTTGGGGAACACCATCAATATTTTTGATAGGAAATTGGGAAGGGCCTTAAAGTGAATCCATAGGAATATTTCTTGTGTAACAAATATCCATTTTAAAAAAGCAACTTTCATATATTTTTTTTTATTTTGAAGCAAGTGTCTTAATTTATTTTCGTTTGGGTTTGGTTCCCTTTCCCTTATCTTCCTTTTTGTATGTTCCGTCTTTCTTTGCCTTTCGGACCTTAGCTCTGGCGTATTTCCTCTTTCTAATCTTGTTGAGGACACCAACGAATCTCTCTTCTTTACGAGCACGAACAATTTGTTGGTAAGCCGATGATTTCTTTTCCTCGGCAGTGACCGCACGAGCTTTGTCGGGTTTAAATGAAGATTTCACTGGCATCAACTTTCCTGTCAATTGGGTAGCCATCTTGACTTCTTCAGACTAAAAATGGAATAAAAAAAATTCATTTCATTTTGATTGCTGCAAAGCAAGTAATTAAATTATTTTTTCGATTACAGCTTAATTACAGTCCAATAATAATAACTTATTTTATATGGGTCAGAATTAGGCCCAATATACAAGGACATGAGGTCAATATAATGATAGAAGCCTGTTTCTATGTCCAATTCAAATGAGTTTACATTTCTCAGACTGAAAGTTGGGTCTTCAAATGGTATTATTTTTATCAATGTCTGGATTGAACCAATCAGTCCCCTCGTCAATAAGTAAAAGTTTTGAGTCTGTTACAGAGATATGTGCAGACTCAGAGAACAGAAGTTGTAAAAAAAGGAGTAATAGAAATATAACTTACAGAAGCTTCGCCAGCTCGGACCTTCTTTTTGTTTCTAGGGAACAAGATCAATTTCGATTTGTATTCCTTTAGTCTTTGAACATTTTCTTGAAGTGATTCCACAGACTTATTTTTTCGTCTGAAATCTACAGCAATTCCAATACCTAAGGCTTCTTTCCAACTGACTTTGACAGCCTGAAAAAAAAAAAAAAAAAAAAACAGGGAAAATAAATAGGGGAGATTGGCAAAGTTCACATCAAACATAATTTTATGGTTTATTTCACCATTTGTAAATTTTTGTATATGGTCTTAAAATATGGCCATATGAACAGTGCATGTCAGAAGTAGGCTACAAACACATTCAGTACTAGTATAGATTAAATTTTGTATTCCTGAAAACACATACTGCTCAAAATATGGCAGGAATAAAGAAAAATTACCTTTAATTCTTCAAAAGAGAATCCTTTTCCCATTCTTCTCTTGGAATTGTATTTAAATGTAGGGCATCGTACAATTGGTCTGAGTGGACCAGCTGCAGGTCGTGGCGCGATACGTCGAGCTTTCTTCAACCTAGTATCATGTCGTCGCTTCTTTCTTGCTGGTTGGTTGAACCAAGTTTTAACATATCTTTGCCAATCTTTGTGGAAATGTCCGTTTGGGACAACGTTGTTACCTTTCGGTGCCATGGCTGTAATGGAAGTTTGAAAGGTTGAATCAAATATTCCATGGTTTAGTGAAGGCAAAAAAAGAATTTAGAAGCCTCTTACACTCAGATTTGAACTGACCTGTGGTCACAAAAAGCAGCGCATTACTTCGCTAGATACGATATATGTGATGTTTTGGTTTCAAAGGCCAGGTCATGATCGATTCTTTCGCACTTTTTCAGGTTCTCGAAAGCAAGGAGCGTTGTCCTTTTGTTACGTAGCATGTTACACTACCGTGTACGAATTTAAATACCTAATTGATTAATACCATTGACTAATTATCCCCTCACTCAAGAAACACTTCATCATAAGGCTTATAATAATCCAAAACAGAAAACCATTGCGAAAGATGGGCTATGTAGCTTCAAATGTGGTTCAATTTCAGCCATTTATCGTGCTGAATCGAAATTAACGAGAATACACCAGGATTCGGAATTCATCATTTTATTCAAATAACCAAGAAAAAAAAGACCGATGGGCTCTAAAAGGCTGATTAAGTTGGATTTTTAAGTGATTATTTTTCACACACCTGACTGATACACTCGTCAACCGGAAAAAGAAAGATGCGCAGTCGGTAATGCGCAAACATTACTACCGGTTGCAGACGAATTTTAAAAAAAGCAAGAAACTCTTCTGACTTCTGTGAAAAACTTAAAATTTCTTGAATTACCTTACGTTAGTCAACTTTTTAAAGTTTTACTAAAAATATGTTTTGTAATTTTGGTGATTCAAATTCAATTGTTGATGATCAGGGAAATTTTAAACTTCTTTACCTAGATCTACTTACAAGTTATTTAACTTTCGCAGATTCGGCTGCATTCTCGCCACTCTCGTCCGAGTCACTGCACCGATTTTTGAATTGAATTTTGGCAATCAATGAATCATTTTCAAATCAATTACAAACCACTACGAGAGTCATGGAGTGCCTTTGGGTTGATGAAAATGTCAACCACTGGAAAAGTTATTATTTGGAATCATGATTTTTTTAGGGGAATTTAAAGTCCGAAATTAGCGAAAAGTAGTTCATTTTCACTTGCATTCTCTTGGAGGGAATTGTATCTATTTCCAATGTAAAATCACTGAACTTTATATTTCTACGCGCTGAAGGTGGAAGACATTCTAAGACAAATGGCATAAAGTTTAAAAATTTATTTTGATTAGATCTACCATACTGGTACCGCTACTGGTATTATTTATATAAAATCCGAGAAACTTTTAATCTATCAATCTGGTCTACCTGGGCATATAATCAGTAATCCTATGATGCAGTTTTACCAGTATTAAACTAAATGCATTGAGCAAGGTACTGCCAGACATTAAAATACCATATATTTCATTTTCTCTTTCAGAATTGAAATATTCAGGAAAGAAATCAATAGTTTTCACACCAACCAATAATGGCTTCCTTTAGCATGATACATTTTAATGATGTTTATAATATTGAGGCGGATCTTATAGAGCCTTTAGGGGGAGCTGCTAGGCTGGCAGGGTACATTAAATCCTGTGCTGAAGAGGATCCTGTTGTTTTTTTCAGTGGAGATGCTCTTAGTCCTTCTCTCAGTAAGTTTGATATTTTTTATCCACTCTGATTGAAATGGACTTCTAAATGATATGTGGCTCCTCTTGCCATCCATGTTTTGGTGAAATTGTTATGCAAGACGCGTTTAAAGGAATTCTTGGTCCAAAACTCCATTTCATTTCATTAGTCTAATAAGATATATATAAAACAGTAGGATATAAAACTACATTACATTTCATTAGTCCAATAAGGTACAGAACAGCAGGATGTTGCACCCAATTTATTTTCTGCTTTCAGTCAGTATATTTTTAAAAGGAGAACAAATGATACCAGTTATGAATGGAGTTGGAGTGACATGTGCTGTCCTAGGAAACCATGACTTTGGTAAGATTAAAATTTGTTTTGATGAAGGCAGAGACTATAGCTATAATATAGCTGAATATCTCAAGTGAAAATAATGATTGGTCTGACAATTGCAAGAACTAGTTAAAAGAATACTACCTCTTAGAATGGACATAAATTTCAAACTTGGTCAACAAGATATTCATCAGTTGGACTTTTCAGGTGCCATGACTAAAGAATAGAATCTCTATGTAAGACAATATATCCATTGAACTGAATAATCATTGAAACACGCTTCTAAGTATGATCATTTATAACAAGAAAAAGTCACTGTCCTCTGTCTATTTTTGAAGATTTTGGTGTGGACCATCTAGAGGATTTGATGGCTCAAACGAAGTTTCCATGGCTACTGAGCAACGTTATAGATGACTTTACAAATGAACCTTTAGCTTATGCTGGAATAAGTCAAATCATTGTTTCAAAAGGTATCAAGGTATGGATAAAATTTATCTTCTACCCTATAACAATCTTTTATTTTATTGCTCACTACAATCGTGGATTTGCCGTAGTTGCCTTATGAATTTGCACAGATGTGATATCTTTTTGGAATGTTCCTGTTTAGATTTGAATTTAAATGTAGGCGGCCTCACAGCATTCAAGATTAAACCTCCACTTGGAAACCCATTTTGAATTACATATCAAGTTAAGGGCAAAGCAAATGATAAGAAATATTTGTGATTACAATCGTAACTGGACTTACATGGATAACTATTACTTTAATAAAATACCTTGTGACGTATCGACAAAGGTTCTTACGTCTTTATAAAGCAATGAAGAACCTTCATCGAAACGTCGCAAGATATTATATTAAAGTAATTATCCATGTAAGTCCAGTTATTATTATCCAATTATTAAATGCCTCTTAAGGAAGTCATTACATACAAGTGTCATAGGATTAGTTACTTATATACCCTGTCAAGGACATTAACCTATAATAATTGATGTAAGTGTTTGTATAGATAGGCCTTATGGGACTAGTTGAAGAGGAATGGATAGATACTCTAGCCACAATAGATCCTGAAGATGTAATTTTCAAAGATTATGTTGAAAGTGGTAGAGAGATAGCACATTCACTCAGAACTCAGGTTGGACCATGAACTATTCAGATTATTTCCTTTTAGCCTTCAAATTGTCTCCCTTTAGCCTTCAAATTGTCTCTCTTTAGTCTTCAAATTGTCTCTCTTTAGTCTTCAAATTGCCTTTTTTTAATGTACGAAAATTATCCCCATGTACTCTCTGTATCCTTCAAATTATCCTGTATCCTTTCCTAATGCCATTAAGATAGACAAGCCAAACAATTCAAATTATCGACCTTTACTCTTCAAAATTGTCTTCCTTTAGTCTTCAAATTATCTCCCTTTAATCTTCAAGTTGCTTCCGGTAACGTTTAATACTCTTGTGTTATTTCAGGGAGCAGATATTGTGATAGCGTTGACTCACATGAGATGGCCGAATGATATAAGATTAGCAGAAGAAGTTGAAGATTTAGATATTATACTGGGAGGCCATGATCATGATTATTGTGTTGAAATGGTTAGTGAATTTTACTAAACTGGGTAATTTTCAGCTGTTTTATTACCCAGTCAATCCAGGTTAATTACTTTGACCTAGGTTGGACCAGAGATAGCAGGCCTGTAGCTACAGAAGGGCAAGGGAGGGGGGGGGGGGGGAGGCTCCTCGATAAAATGGATTCCAAGAGTTGGTCCGGTGTTGGCTTTAACCCTCTTATATCTAATCTCTAAGTAATGTGTTTCTTCCCATAAAACATTTCTGTCAGTGAAAGCTTTAGGTAGAGTCTGCGGTAACATCATCATCATCATCAAGTTTTCTTAGTTGGGCTGTAAAACTCATCTCTGTTGAATTCCTTATAGATAAACGGTACATATATAGTCAAGAGTGGAACAGATTTCCGTAATTTAAGTCATATTCATGTAACGAAAGATGAGAATGGAAAATGGAAGTTTGATATCAAAGAAGTTGAACTGGATTCGTCAGTGAAAGAAGATCCTGAAATTAAAGAACTGGTTACGGCTAAATTAGGTAAAAAAAAATTCAATTCTGTATCAAGCAGTAGTAATATACGGAAATGTTGAATACCAAGCTCCAATATCCGTTAAAATTGCCCTTTCATAGAGAAGAAATTTGCAAACCAATGATGTAAAAAGTAATTAAAAATTGTTTCAAAGACACTTCATGGCTTCTCTTCAAAATTCCCAGTGGTATTTCAAGGTTCAATCTGGCACTGGTCGAATTAAGACCTTCACATTTTTCAACCCGGTTTCCTCCTGTCAGTGATGTAGGTGGGGAGGCTGACATGGAAAATGTGTTCCTACAGACTGAATATAAAAAGCTCCCTCGAAAATTGGAAATCCAAAAATAGTAGGCGAAATTCAGTCTTTGCACACGGTGTTGCCTTTCTTCATTAGCAAAATCAGAAACAGAAAAGTAAGATTTACTCTGCCATTTTATTTCAAGTGAAGCATAAAATTCCATTTCATTTCCCTTGTAGCTCAGGGCAGAAGAGTAGGATGTAAAACTCTATTAATTTCATTTTCATTTTCATTTCTTTTGTAGCTCAAGTAGATGATAAAATGGATAATAAGTTAGGTGATATATTGGTGGACTTAGACGGCAGGTTTGCAAAAATCAGAACTCAGGAAACTAACTTAGGTAAAATATATTTTAATTTAGATTATTAGCCTCTCATTTTGTTTGACAGAATTTTTTCATGTGACTCTTTTTTTGTAATTAATTTACCAAATGCCATTTGTGCCATTAACAGTATTAAATACGGCTTATTCACAAACATTCTACTCACTATTGTTTTTAGAATATCCATATCTTGTGCTTCTTTTAATATAAGTCTCTAAAATTGTTTTTTAAGCTAGTATTATTCTCCAATTAGATCATAGCATTTCCTAAAATATGGATAAATATATCTAAACTAAGGATTCCAGAATAGGCCCTTGATAGGCCAAGTTTTGTACGACAGTAACTAACGTCTTGTTATCTTTTCCAGGAAATTTTGTAACTGATATAATTCTAACAGCTACGTGTGCTGATATGACAATATTAAACTCAGGAACATTTAGATCTGATCGAATTCATCCTCGTGGAGATTTTATAATCCGTGATCTGTTAACTATTCTTCCATTGTTAGACCATATGTTGATCATAGAATGCACAGGTAGGTTAGAACTTATATAGAACTCACTGGCATGAGACTATAGTTTTATATGCATGTACATTACTAAGATGTACATCTTCACTCCATGGGGGGTGGGAGCCTCGGTAGCTCGCTAACCTGAAAGTCCAGACTCAATCCTGGCATAGGTCGAGATGATTCTTTTGGATTTTTCAACCCAGTTTTCCCCTGTCAGTGATGCAGCCAAGATGGGCTGACATGAAAAAAGCATCTAGGTGTTTGGATGAGACAATAAACTGAAAGCCTGTATGCCACAGGCTGTGTACGTTAAAGACCAATCGACAGGTGGAAATCGAAAAAGAGCTGGCTAATGCTTCTGTCCTGGCAAAATGTCCCATATTGCACCCTGCATGGTGTTATCCGTCTTCATTAACCCACATGGTGTAGAAAAGTAGGAGGTAAAACTCTAATCATTTCATTTGACCCCATGAGGGTTACACATAGACTAAGGTAGATCATGTGTGTCTGCTCATGAATTGTATGTTCACATTTGACAGGAGACAGGCCCTGTATTCTCGAAACGATCTTAGCACTAGGATATCCTAGGATCTTATCTTCTAACATTGATTCTAGGACGTCCTAGCGCTAAGATCATTTCGAGAATATGTGGCCTGTATTTTATACTATTGATATCCTACTTTTCATGATTGATGTTCTTTCAGCTTGGAATACCAATTAATTTGATTATTTTTCTGTTCATTTCAGGCAAGCAGATAGTGCAAGCGTTAGAAAATGGTGTTTCTCAATATCCCAAACTTGAAGGTCGTTTTCCACAGGTAGCTGGTTGTAGGTTTGGGTTTGACCCCAGTAAAGCAAAAGGTCATCGTATTGACCCTGCTTTAGTTCTGATTCAAGATGAGTATGTTGATCTAGAGAAGGTAAAGTTGAAGTTTATTGAATTTGTCCTTTTTGAATTCAATTTTGAGGAGGGGACATAGTCAAGAAGGAAAGAGTGCTGATGGAATAGTGCACATTTCTGATCCCTCCAAAAATCATATGATTGTATCTCATGATGTTGACCTAGATAGTAGTGTCGAGCGTGAAGACCATGCTTACTCTTTTTGAAACACCTGATGGTCCACTACTATAATATTTTTACTCTTGATTTTGCCACACTGTGAACGAGATTAACGGAATTGTCCTACTTGTACAGATTTTTATTCAAATTTGAAATTTCAGAAGTACAGATTGTGTACAAAAGAATATCTTGCCCATGGAAAAGATGGTTACACTGTTCTTAAAGATTGTCCTATATTGGTGAGTTGAAATAATATTTTAGATGTATACAAGGTAAAATGTATTAATGTATACTTTGACAAATACAAAATGGTAATTATCAAATGTCACCATTTTTCTAAAGTGAAATTGCTTGAGAGGAATTGTAACTGGCCGTTAATTGAAAGATGAGGCTTGATACAGGTGACCGACTGACAAGTGTGACTGTAACATGGAAATCTTATATTTTAGGTGAACGTAGAGAACTGTCCTACGTTGTCTACCTGTATTCAGAATCATTTTGAATCAGTACAGATGTTATATGGTGAGAAAGAATGTAGATCAGGCCATAGACAAAGTCTACTGTGTCTTGTCAAGTAAGTTTTCCTTTACTCTCTTTTTCAATGGAAGCACTGGTTTTTGAATTTTGTGGTCTTGTGAGGATTGTTTTTTTTATTAAATATAATATCTATTAGGAAAAGCATCAATCCACAACAAGGCTCTTATTTTTGTATCATTACAACAATTAATTTTTCACAATTTGATCCTCTTTTGATCCTGTCACAAAATCCCAGTGAAATTCCTACTGTTAATCTTCTTACTTGTAATTTTTTATTACTTCCTGTTTTTGACAGGAAAGAGGAAATTATAGTTAAAAGGCAGGAGAGTTCTGACTCCATCAATAGAGCATTGGTACGACAACAGAGTATCCATGATGCTGAGATAGAGAAACCCCATCTAGCACCGGAGATTGATGGCAGGATCTTTCAGTATGATGATGAGGTAAATGCTGCTCAAAATAATTTTCAATAAACTGTAAAAACTCCAGAAGAAAAGGGGTACCAATTTAAACTGACAATGAAAATTGCTGATTAGTTGCGCTGTAAAATATTTCTACGTGTATCACTCAAAGAATTTTCCTTCAAAGTTTGGGTGTTAGGGGGTGAGAGCCGACACTGAGCTGAATCTCGGAAGCACTGGCACAGGCATCAGATATATCTATCTCGTTTTGAATCTGAGCTATAACTAGCCATATAGACAAAATATACAAAAATCAAAAATAAGAAGATGATATTTAGTTCCAAGACAGTCTTTTTCTAACTCATTTGACCATTTGACTCCTTGTAAAAAAAATGCGTACAAGCAAGACAATTCAATAAATCAAAATCGCGTCCAAAAATCAGATCAAATGGCAAAATCAAAAGTAAAAATTGTCTAGTAGTGGACCAAAGAGAAGTACCTCGCGCGTGACACCCACCACTACTATCTAGGTCAACATCATGAAACATAATCAGATCAATTTATGTCTGATCAAACAAAACAGCCAAGATGCAAGAAACAGATTGTTACATTTGTCCAGAAGTTCGCTATAATAACCATTGTATTTCCTAAATGAGGTTTGTTAGCTCTTTCCAAGCCATGTAATAACTCATTGTGACTATTTTTCAGAAACACATGGAATTGTTGGCCTTAAAAGATTCCCAAAGTAAAAAGAGATTAGATGTAGGAAGGAAGGAAGAGACAACTTCTAGATTAGATGTAGGAAGGAAGGAAGAGACAACTTCTAGATTAGATGTAGGAAGGAAGGAAGAGACAACTTCTAGATTAGATGTAGGAAGGAAGGAAGAGACAACTTCTAGATTAGATGTAGGAAGGAAGGAAGAGACAACGTCTAGATTAGATGTAGGAAGGAAGGAAGAGACAACTTCTAGATTAGATGTACACCAGAAAGAGGCAACTTCTAGATTAGATGTACACCAGAAAGAGGCAACTTCTAGATTAGATGTACAACAGAAAGAGGCAACTTCTAGATTAGATGTACAACAGAAAGAGGCAACTTCTAGATTAGATGTACAACAGAAAGAGGCAACTTCTAGATTAGATGTACAACAGAAAGAGGCAACTTCTAGATTAGATGTACAACAGAAAGAGGCAACTTCTGGTTTAGATGAACACCAGAAAGAGGCAACTTCTAGATTAGATGTACAACAGAAAGAGGCAACTTCTAGATTAGATGTACAACAGAAAGGGGCAACTTCTGGTTTAGATGAACACCAGAAAGAGGCAACATCTAGATTAGATGTACATCAGAAAGAGGAAGCTAGTCTAGACGCAGGAGATGAAAATAATGGATCTTAAAATAGGTCAAGGTTTCTAACAAACCCTATGATATTCAACATTGTGACTAGGGTTAACAATTTTTTAAGTTTTATTCTATAATTTTACAGTTTTACGTTCATAAACAACTTTCATTATAAAACTCTTCTTGCTAATACATGCCTTTTAACTAGAATAAAATTCAGAAATTCGGAGCAAAAATTACAATAATTTGATGATGGACCACTAAATTCATTTTTAGTTGAGTTCTTGAAATTGTCTCCTATATTTTATGATTGAAGATGTCCGAAGGTTATCAAGATCCAAATAACCTGCAGACTTTTTAGAGTCAGACCTGATTTGTAAAATATTGTAATTTTATTAAGTTTGTCTTTTTTGTTGTTTATTTTTTTATTTAATTTTCATGTCTGTTTATGTGTTTATTCATTCATTCATTTATTCATTCATTCATTCATTCATTCATTCATTCATTCATTCATTCATTCCATTTAAATTATCTTTATTTATTTATTTATTTATTTAGTTTTTTATTTTTTTATTTTTTTATTTTATTTATTTTTTTATATATTCATTTATTTATGTCTTATTATTTATTTACTCATTTATTTTTAATTATTCATTTATTTATTTTTTTTTTATTCATTTATTTTTTTATATATTCATTTATTTATGCCTTTTTATTTATTTTTATTTATTTATTTATTTATTTATTTATTTATTTATTTATTTATTTATTTATTTATTTATTTATTTATTTATTTATTTATTTATTTATTTATTTATTTATTTATTTATTTATTTATTTATTTATTTATTTATTTATTTATTTATTTATTTTTATTTATTTATTTATGCCTTTTTATTTATTTATTTATTTATTTATTTATTTATTTATTTATTTATTTATTTATTTATTTATTTATTTATTTATTTATTTATTTATTTATTTATTTTTATTTATTTATTTATGCCTTTTTATTTATTTTTATTTATTTATTTATGTCTTTTTATTTATTTATTTATTTATTTATTTATTTATTTATTTATTTATTTATTTATTTATTTATTTATTTATTTATTTATTTATTTATTTATTTTTATTTATTTATTTATTTATGTCTGTTTATTTATTTATTTATTTATTTATTTATTTATTTATT